GTGGCTCAGGGGTCGTTAGTGCATGCGTCTCGGGCAACCCTTCATGACGTTCCGGGTTTGACTGGCTGGTCCCATCCTCGGATCCTCCAACCTGGGGGTCGTCCAAGTTCAGCCTCCTCTTGGTAGAGCAGTTATCATCAGAGCGTCGTGGACTCCTTTCTGGTGTCATGTTGCTCAACTGGATGCTTTAAATCGTCCCCACAAACTGTGCCAATTGTTGATGCGTGGATTTCGGTCCTCCGGTTCTCCTCCTCGCACCCACCAAACTTGTTGATTCGGGACTAGTACCTACAAAACCAAATCGAGCTAAACCAGTGTGACTCTAGTCACACGGGCTCCGATGCTTAAGTTAGCAAGAGAATAATGTAAGTGTAGTCAACTTTTAGATGCCCTTACCTTTAAGGTTGGATCGCTACTTATAGCCGTGAAGTAGTTCCAGAACTTTCCGTAGCTAACCCTAACTCACCGTTGTAGGGCCTAGGCGAAATCGTCGATCAAAGATGGGGAATTGTTGGTTGGGCCGTGGGCCGAGCCCGGCTCGGGACAGAGCCCCTCATGTCCCAGTGGGCTCCCCTCCGATCATGACCTATAGCTCGACTATCGATTCCCGTTGCATAACAAGTACGGAGGCGGAGTTTGACTCATGTTTTTACTGATTTGATTTGGGTGTAGTCTCTGTTTTCTGACTTGCATTTTATTCTCTCTTGGCCTCCTATACTTTGGTGCGATAACTTGGGAGCAGTCCACCATAGTGCAAATCCGATTTTACATTCTCGCACGAAACATGTTGAGTTGGATATATACTTTGTGCGGGATTTGGTAGTTTAGAAGAAGCTTTCTGTTTGTCATCTACTATCGTATGCTCAAATTGCAGATTTGTTCACCAAACCACTCTCCGCTACCCAATTTCTGCCTCTTACAGCCAAGCTCAATGTGGTTTCTCCATCCACTATTGGCTTGAGGGGGGTATTAAGACGGCTCCTTAGCTTAGTCTGATTAGTTACAATGGTTAGCCTAAGTTATTCTATTTTTAGTTATTCTAATTTTAGTGGTTTTGGTTACAGTAGTTTCATTGAGAAGTTGTTGTATTACTTATTGTATTCAGCAGCAGTCATATATATGGTTCTGCTCTTTTTTTTTTTATCAATGAATAAGTTTTGGAGGAATGTATTTATGATCATTCTTGTGCCTACTCTATGTTTTTTGTGTGAATTATACACTCAGCCAAATCAAGAACAAGCTTTCTACTCTCGAAGGGGGAGATCTAGAGGATGAGGACAACATTTTTCTTCGAGAGGAAGGCTGTTCTATATGCTTTGGATGACTAAAAACTTGGGGAAAATGAAGCATATGTTGCTGCTATTACCAACAATAACGCCCCATACTCTATTTGGCATAAGAGAATGGGACATTTGAATGAAAAATACTCAAAGAACTTTGTATTCTCAACAACTTATTGATGTTTCTAGTTGGCATAAAATAGAAAATATTTGTGTTTGCTATCAATTAAGTAAGAGTTGTAAGTTTAAATTTCAATCCAATTTTAATATATGTAAGGTTCCTTTGGAAAAGATACATAGTGATCTATGGGTCCCACATTTACACATTTATAGTTTCTTTTCAAGGTTACAAATATTTTGCAAGTTTAGTGGATGATTTTTCTAAATTCACTTGGATACATCCTTTGAAGAAAAAGTCTGAATTTACATATTGGTTGAAAAAAATTTAAACTAATGATTGAAAATCTAGGGGATAGGAAGATAAAAGTCCTTCAAAGTGATGGTGAGGAGAATTTACATTTCTTGACGTCAAAACACTACTAGAAAAAAGTGGAATTGTGCATCAACTATCTTGCCAAAAGCAAGAATCATCATCTCATCGAAATAGGTTTAACCATCTTATTCCAATCAAATATTCCTTTAAAATATTAGGTGGATAGTTTTCTTACAGCTACCTTTCTTATGAACCGAATGCATATCAAATTTCTAGACAATGAAACTCCATATCAAAGACTATTTTAAAGAACTCTTAAATATGATGGAATAAAAATATTTGGATGTAGATGCTTCCCATACCTAAGGAATTATGCTAGAAACAAATTTTCAAAACGAACATATCCTTTGTGTTTTCATAGGTTACAGTTCTATGGATAAAATAATAGAGTCTACATCTCTAGGCATGTTATTTTATTTTATTTTATGAAAATTGCTTCCCTTTTGTTCAAAACACTTCACACACTAGCCACCAAAATCCTTTGGAAGTTACTGACTTTGCAGGACAAGAAGAGTGGACCAATCCAAAAAAGATGGAATATCAACTCCACAAAAGCAGCAGTAACTCCTCAGGACACAAGAAAACCAAGACAGAACATTCTTGACATAGATCAGACTCAACAAAGAGAAGCTTATAATGGCACATACTCCACTCCTGGACCAACCACTTTATCTAAATAATCAGCCTCCCTACGACAGGGCAATTGAGACACAAAATCACTCTTCAAGCATGCATAGAAGCAGCGATACAGTAAGATTGGATGAAACAATCGGGTAGCCACATACTGAGGAAAGCCATGATGCTCAAAGAGGAAATATATGAAAGTACAAGTACATTTGACATCAAATGACATTCACGTAGATACATCAAAACATCTAACTACTAATGCAGTCAACACAAAAGCACAATCAACCATCAACACGCATGAAGTTTTACAGCTGGAGAACTCTACAACTCATGAACTACCTTTGTCTAATCAATTATCTGACATTAGTTCGAACTTGTACATTGACTTCAATCTATCCACTGCAGGAACTCAATCAGATACAACACAGGATCATGGTAGAATTGATACACAAAGTGACAACAATGCTCCACCCTGGGAAATTTAGTCTACTCACTCATGGTCACAAGATATAAACTCAACAAAGATCCATCTATTGACCCCAATTTACATCAAAAGGTCAAACAAATGAAAGCTTCTCGACAAAACTCAGCCTACCTAATTAATACACAAATATTGGAGCCAAAAGGGCACAAAAGTACTCTACAAATTCCTCATTAGAAGACCGCCGTGGATGAAGAAATGGCTGAACTCCATCAAAATAATACACGGTCTCTTGTGCGAAGACCGGAAAATGTAAATGTGGTAGGGTCAAAATTGATCTTCAAGACAAAACTATGTCGATGACATAATTATCACTGGCAATGACACTAACAATATAATATTTATGATCTCATTCTTCATCTAGGTACATAATTTGCTATCAAGGACCTTGGACGTCTCCGCTACTTCTTGGGCTTAAAATTACACCACATAGCCACTGGACTCCACCTATCACAAAGCAAATATGCCAAAATCCTTGAAAGGAATAACATGGCAACTACATCTCATCTCAACACACCCATGGCTGTGACACCCTCACAATTCCCCATTAATCAAGATCCAACAGATGCTACAACTTACAGGAAAATTGTTGGCTCCTTACAATATCTCATTTTGACTAGACCTGACATAACGTAAGTCGTCAACAAAGTGTGCCAACACCTACAAAATCCAACAATACAACACATGAAAACTGTGAAATGCATTTCAAAGGAACTACTGCATATGGTCTACATTTTTACAAAAACAGCTCACTAAATCTCTATGGCTTTTGTGATGCAGATTGGGGAGGTTGTTCATACACCAGGCGAAGTACCACTGGCTTTTGCATCTTCCTTAGACCAAATTTCATCTCTTGGACCTCCAAAAAGCAATCGACTGTGGCTCGATCAAGCTCAGAAGCTGAATACAGAGCAATGATAAGTGCAAC